TCGTGAAATTTCCAGACCTCTTTGGTACCCTTGTAAAAATCTAACGGAGGTTGCTTTCTGAACGAACTCTCTTCGATGAGGTCTCTTTTTTGAGGTAATACTGTGTAGGCACTAATGATGGCTTCCGAAAATAATACAACGTCAGACCAGTGCATGTGAACATCTCCGTGGAGGCCAAATTCACTCTCATGTCTTAATTCAAAACCAGAGTGTCAGAATCTCCTCAGCACTCACAAATTTATGTTTTTTTGAAGGAACTATTCGTATCGGGAACACGTATGCTTTCGGTAAGTTTCATCTGACTTTTGCAGTTCCAAAAAATTGAACAAGCGTGGACAAAAACGGAATAAAGAAAGCAAAGCAAGAGTAAACAGCAACAAGAGTGAAGGGCAGTCAGGTGACAAGAATATTTGTTCCGGGTTAATCGATCGGCGATCACTTCAGTCAGTCAGTCGCTTGTGCACACTTGGTGGTGTTGGCCTCAGTAGTCTGATGATGATCAATTCGGTCGCGTTCATGATTGACTGTCGAGCTATTTTCCATCGATTGTTTAGAATCCGACTGAGTCGGATTGACCTGCTGATCTGTATTCAATTAATGCTTTACGATTGTGCTGTTGTCTCACCCAATTCTGAGGGGCTTCGAACAGTGCTCCCCGACACTCTGTGACGAGCGTCTGATCGACTTAGTTTGCAGAACTCGCACAAACAGCAGGCCAGCATTAAAAATCGAAGACAGTGTCTTTGGGGAATTGTAAGACAAAAGCTTTAGCTCAGCAGCATGAAGCATTCTTCTCAGCGACCCTTATGTCCAGTTTGTAATGTACTTTGAAGCGTTATCACTCTTCTCGAGAAATGCACTCATTTGCAAATCCATTTGGTTTTCACGAGGGACTCAACTGAATCTCTCGTTTACGATATTCTACAATTGAATGTGCTGCACACAGGCCGCCTCATGTTTCAGTTGGCACGATATTCGAAATATCGCAGTATATTTTCATGAAGGAAACTACTCACAAGGTTGCTGAAAACTCTTCGACAGCCCGCGACTGGTTTCGCCCTTCTTGGGGCTCATCAGGTAGGCGTAGTTGAGTCTCTCATGAAAACCAAATTGATTTGCAAATGAGCGTATTTGTCACAAGGTCCAATTTGGGTTCCAGTAGAACATAAGGTTGACGGGAACTCGGGAACTGCGCCTACGTGATGAGCCGCAAGAAGGGTGAAACCGGTCGTGGGCTGTCGAAAAGTTTTCAGCTACCTTGTGAGTAATTTCCGTTATCAATCTTGATTAGAAGCCGTATTATGGATCGGCTTTCTCTTGACGGTGAGTTATTCCCCCATCATAAATATCGGTTGCATATGCTTTCTAAAAAAATTCCAGGGGTTACGAGCTTTGTTCTAAAATTTTTGCTGAAGTTGCCAGTTCCTGTTCTAGAATGTCAGGCAAGAAAATCGTTCTGGTTCTGTCTGCCAAAATGTGAGCCAAATATCGTTTCTCGCTAGGCTTTTAAGTTTCGGTGGCTTGGTTACTCGAATAACAATCCTACCAAGATGACTTCAGTGAACCACAATGGATCACGAACAGACCTGACTGGCGATCCACACGATGCTGAAAGTTACCAACCACGAAACGTTTGAGTGACTGATGGAATCTCTTCTCTCTTGAGATTCCCATAATTGGTAGTTTGTCACATTGCAGCTCACGTGTAGCTCACGGCATGCTGTACCTGTTTACGCAGTCACTCACATACTCTTTTCGCGTGAACATGTGTACATTGACGGTTCCTTATGAAGAAAACCCTGAGTACCGGTAGTTTCTTAGCAACGATACGAGGAGACAATTGACGCAGGATGGTATTCCTTCAGATTTTCCGCGCAACCGATGGACGCGTCACATGGATCAACATCAGAATGACGGGAATACTTGCCACCCTAGTACGATCAACTGCTAGTCTGTCTATCAGCAAGCTAGGGTGAGGTGGCTTGGTGGTTAGAACGCGGATTTATTGACCGAGAGATCCATGGTTCGAACTCGGCCTCTGCCTCTCGACTTCCCCTGTCTAGGTTTGGGCGACGTGGCAGTATCCCAGCCCTCGAGCTTCCTGTTGGGTTGGTATGGCAGCTAGGCACCGAAAGGGTGTTACAGCTGAATCATCATTATCTTATATATCAGTGAACTCGTAGTATGATGTTCGTACGGATCGTTGGACAGGGAATTCAAAACGAATAGATCAATGGCCACCAGTACGCACACCCGAACTACCAATATTTTGAAATATTGACGCATCTCGTTGGCCGTGCAGGGATTCGAACATGCAAGCGGAGAGTATTGCTACTGCCCCACCAGTCCACGCCAACCGCACCTTATCTAGCACTCTGAACAAACGAATGTGTTCACATTTGAGTTGGTTTGCAAACCAATCAAACAAATTCATTCGTCGACCCTACCTGGCCGTCGGTCGAGGCACTCAACTAGCCTGTCACATTGCTCGCTTGTAAACACTTCCGCCTGCTCAAGCAGAGAGTACGCTAGGGGTAATATGATCTCACATTGCGTGTCGGATGTCTGGGGTTCAAATCGCGGCACACTGTGAATGCGAAACTGAAGTCCAATGTTCCCCATAGTTTGTGTGGACACACCAGCGTCATTCTGCGGAACCAAGTGGGAGGACCGGTCAAATTAGAGTGAAATGAATGGCAGATCTACGCATCCCATAACCATCTAAACCTGATCACATTTCCGCGTTCAATTATACCATTTCAAACTATATCTTTGCCATACCCCCTGTGTGCATTCAACTGGTCATTAGTTCGATAACTGGGCAAAACGATCTGATTTCAATGCTGTATGTCCTCGCCACAGTCAAGAGAAAACGACTGCAATCGACCGACCGTAGCCACGCCTTCTACACTTTCATCCCAGGTTTCTCCACGCGCTGATACTACAAAACGAGAATACACGTTAAAAAGACTACGGTGCCTTAGGTTCCTTCCTTCTCCCCAAATTCATTTGTGGCTCCTATAAGAATCTTCCAAGAAATTGAAATTGTTCAGCTGTAGCACCCTTTCGGTGCCTAACTGCCATGCCACCCGAAGGTTGCAAGAGGACTGCGATACTGCCAGGTCGCCCAAGCCTAGACAGGAGCAGTCGACATGTGGGAATTGGGTTCTAACCATTGAACGTCGGATCAGCAAGTTCGCACTTAAACACCAAACTGTCTGGAGCTCAGTGCATAACCCAGCACTCCCTCTCCCCAATCTTCCATTTGTTCATATATCTAAACAGTTTGAAATTCTCCACCAATCATTGATGTCAACTGCATTACATCTCTAAGATGGATGCTTGGATGTGCTATAGTCGGGAACTAAATCAGCTATTCGCCTTAGTACCGCTTTTCAGTTCACATTTACGCCTACAAACAGCACCTCATATTCGTGAAGGAAACCACTCACAAGGTTGCTGAAAACTCTTCGACAGCCCACGATCGGTTTCGCCCTTCTTGGGATTCAGTATAAACGAGAGATTCAGTTGAATTTGTGGTGAAAACCAAACTGATTTGCAAACGAGTGTATTTCTCGAAAACAATCCCATTTGGGTTCAAGTAGAACCTAGGGTTGACGGAAAATCGGGGACTGCCCCCACCTGATGAGCCCCAAGAAGAGCGAAACCGGTCGTGGGCTGTGCAACAACCTCGTGAGTAGTTTCCTTTATGAAAATATACTTCGATATCTCGAATATCGTACTAACTGAAAGATGAGGCGGTCTGTGTGCAGCATATTCAGTTGTAGAATATCATAAACGAGAGATTCAGTTGAGTCTCTCGTGAAAACCAAATTGATTTGCAAATGAGTGTATCTCTCGAGAGCACCTCATATAGGTATACTTTTGTGCGTACGTTGCATAAATGTCAAAATGAAAAGCCAAAGAATGTTTTTTTCTCTGGTTGTATGGTTTTAAAGATTTTGCTACTGAACTGCAGTATGCGGTCGAAAGTGAGAGTCTGGGTGTCGCTGATGTGATGAGATCCCCGTGAGTCCCTCGCGCTTTACTGGAGACATTGCAAGGACTGACGGCTAATCAATAACAGTGGTGTTCGTGCTGTCAGTTCCTTTCTAGATTGTCTGATTGAGTGCTTGTAGGTGTAGACACCTCAGAATGTTTGTGATGACGATGATGACCGCGGCTGTAATTGACCGCATAGTCGCCTGAGAGGTAACCGACAGTTTGGTCACAACAAGGCTTAGCAGCGATCCAGTTCTGGACCCAAAGTGCGACAATATTTCCGTACCTTATCGTGGCCAATCAGGTGAATCGATTCAGTACGACCGGTACTCAATATACTCAGCAGAGTTCACGATGAATTTTTTGTTGGCAGCTTTTTAGCTCCCAGGATCAACATGAAGAAACGGCATGCCCACGCTTGACTGAAGTTGAACCAGAGAGGTTACTGAGTGCTCTGCTTGATTGTGAGCTTGTCGTCAGTTCGCATGGCATTGAAGACGGTGGTTGTACATCGAGTCAATATCTGTACAAGCAACCCTGAATGAAAGCATTAACGATCCATTAGACATGAAGATCATCCCTCCCGCAATCGACCGTGAGTAAACGGAAACACGTGTTAATAAGATCCTTTTATAAAAAAGCCCCCGGAAACCAGAAATGTCTCTCGGCCGCTTCTGTTGCTCAAATCCATAAGAATTTACACCCACTGGAACAATCAGCGAACTATTCCCTGAGGTAAGATAAGGCAAAGGCATGTGGAACCGGATGTCAAAGTGCAGCAAGGCTGGACCTCAAAAGCGACCTCTTTTGTTCGGTTGTTTGAGGTTTCTTCCAGCGCTGAACCCCCTCACAAAAGTGGTGAAAGGAAGAAGGCCTTCGCCGCGGAGTTATTTATTAGAAAATGCCAACTGAACAGTTACAGACTATTGGACAGGGAAGCAAAACTCTCATATGCATCTTGTTTACAAAACTGAATATCCATCTCCTCCTTGAACGCGAATGCGAAAGCGAATGCGACTCCACGAATTCCGCAATAAATCCCACTTTTCAATAGACGCGAAGCGGATATACGAGAAAATCACATACTACTCGCATGCCTTCCCATCAGTAGTATCACACCCACCGCTTCTGTGANACTGAACAGTTACAGACTATTGGACAGGGAAGCAAAACTCTCATATGCATCTTGTTTACACAAATTGAACATCCATCTTCTCCTTGAACGCGTCTTCGTGAACTTTCCTGGATATCCATTGACTGTTGCTCAAATGCAAGCAAGTGCGACTCCACAAATTCCGCAATAGATCTCCCTTTTCAATAGACGCGAAGCGGATTTACGAGAAGATGGCATATTACTCGCATGCCTTCCCATCAGTAGTATCACCCCCACCGCTTCTGTGAGAATCGCAATTAGAAGAGCGCATTCCACTTTCTGAACGTTTACTAGTCCTCTTGTGTTATCCACATGCATCACGCCATTTTTATTTCACCTACCTGGCATTATTTCCATCCTTCTTCCGTCTTCTGAAACGTGTCAATTCCAATCCAATGGTGATCTCTCCTGAGGAGTAAGCATGCTACTAAATGCTTCTCATGATGGTTTGTAGGTGTTTCGTCACTAACCGTTGTTCACCCTGCTCCTTCGTCAGAAACCAAACCTTGTTCTCAACTGAACTCAGCTGTCGCGGATGCACCATCCGCCCCAAACGTAGACGATTCGTGGGAACAGACGGACATATCCTTGGAGGTCGATCCAGATGTGCTTGCTTCCGCATTCGACGAACTGGAAAGTGCTAATCTTGTGAACAAACCATGTGAATTCACATCACCAGACCGCCCTGATCCAACACCCTCTCCCACACCTGCTGCAAAGCAAGGTGCGTCCACACGGAAAAATTTAGGCGTCAAATCCTCTCTTCGTCAGACGGTGCTGAATGTGACCGCCGAGAAACCGGCCGTTTCGAACACGGATATCACAACGACCGCTCGAGTCTCTCGTGAAAACCAAATTGATTTGCAAATGAGTGTAGTCCTAGTTGTTGTCGTTGTTGTTGTAAAGGGTAATGCATGTGCTTTCGACTGTGTTCCGTGTTGAATCGACGTTACCTAAAGGCCGTGTGGTTAGACCGCAGTACCATTTACAGCCGGTAGCATTCGCCCACCTTCTTGTGGTAAAGCAGACCAAAACGGGTGGCTGATTCCGGACCTGTTGACATAGCGACCAATTCAAGACCCTGTTTTTTCTGAAATTTACTAGCTAATACTCAGATAATGCCTGAAGAGCCTTGGTTGAGTACTCTTTGCTTAGCTTGTTGGCAGTGATTCAAAAGTGCTGTTTGTGTTTAGTGAGTAAGATCCTGTGTTTTCTACTGGTTTGGCCAATTCAAAGGCTTTCTCACTCTTTTTTCGACGTGATTGAACTTTCTCACTCTGTTTAGTCCGTTTAATGAATAAGTTCGCCCGACCCTAAGATTTGATCGGGTCATTTGGACGAATTAACAGTCTGTGGAACAAAATGAAACGGTGTTTAGGCGATCATTTCGGTCTAAGTAGTACCGATTCCATCGGATGTGTAATGCCGGTAAAGATTGGTTACCGTACCTCCCTCCTCTGGATTCGTTCAGCCCAGCTTACCATATCGGGTATTTGCTGCGTTTCAGAACCTACTTGATTTCAGCAATTTCTTTCCCAGCTCTTCACAAGGACTCATTTTTACTTGGTTGCACTAAAGCAACCAGACATTTTCTCAACTCAACCTGTGCGAGAAAACTTTGTCTAACTTTATTTATTATTTGAGAACACTGCCAGCGAGCAAATTAAGTAAACAAAGGAGCGGTGGTTGGTGACCCAAATAAGGGTCGGTTCACTACTTTTCAGGGTGTGCAGATTCAATGCCTTTCATCATTCACCAAGTTTCCCTGAAAATTCCTTCCTGATGACCTATATCTCACTAGAAACAGGTCAATACCGTAAGCTTTCACGAGGTTTGGTCTAAAACAATCTTTCGGCTGCAAATTAGGGCCACAGATGCGTATCTCATTATCACATTGCTCCAGGAAAAAGGAATGGAAGATGGTATTCTTGAGCTGGTCCCGTTAAGTTTGCATGCCATCTCCCATAACAGGGAAAGCTGTTTCAAGACGGGACGAGATGGCTCAGTGGTTAGAACGCGAATTTACTGACATGAAGGTTCGTGGTTCGAACTCGACCTCTGCCTTTCGACTTCCCCTGTCTAGGCTTGGGCGACCTGGCAGTATCGCAGTCCTCTTGCAACCTTCGGGTGGCATGGCAGTTAGGCACCGAAAGGGTGCTACAGCTGAACAATTTCAATTTCTTGGAAGATTCTTATAGGAGCCACAAATGAATTTGGGGAGAAGGAAGGAACCTAAGGCACCGTAGTCTTTTTAACGTGTATTCTCGTTTTGTAGTATCAGCGCGTGGAGAAACCTGGGATGAAAGTGTAGAAGGCGTGGCTACGGTCGGTCGATTGCAGTCATTTTATCTTGACTGTGGCGAGGACATACAGCATTGAAATCAGATCGTTTTGCCCAGTTATCGAACTAATGACCAGTTGAATGCACACAGGGGGTATGGCAAAGATATAGTTTGAAATGGTATAATTGAACGCGGAAATGTGATCAGGTTTAGATGGTTATGGGATGCGTAGATCTGCCATTCATTTCACTCTAATTTGACCGGTCCTCCCACTTGGTTCCGCAGAATGACGCTGGTGTGTCCACACAAACTATGGGGAACATTGGACTTCAGTTTCGCATTCACAGTGTGCCGCGATTTGAACCCCAGACATCCGACACGCAATGTGAGATCATATTACCCCTAGCGTACTCTCTGCTTGAGCAGGCGGAAGTGTTTACAAGCGAGCAATGTGACAGGCTAGTTGAGTGCCTCGACCGACGGCCAGGTAGGGTCGACGAATGAATTTGTTTGATTGGTTTGCAAACCAACTCAAATGTGAACACATTCGTTTGTTCAGAGTGCTAGATAAGGTGCGGTTGGCGTGGACTGGTGGGGCAGTAGCAATACTCTCCGCTTGCATGTTCGAATCCCTGCACGGCCAACGAGATGCGTCAATATTTCAAAATATTGGTAGTTCGGGTGTGCGTACTGGTGGCCATTGATCTATTCGTTTTGAATTCCCTGTCCAACGATCCGTACGAACATCATACTACGAGTTCACTGATATATAAG